CCCTCCCCCCTTTCCTCCTCCTCCTCCGCCTCCTCCTGGACCTCTCCTGGGGCGCGTTCTGACGATAATCTCGAGGAGAACCCAGCCGTGGCGGCGAGGGCTCTCCAGGACCAGCGGCGGTATCGGCACCTCTTCCTCCTCTGATGCAGGGCTACGCCTGTACACCTTGTTCTCCTTCCTCAACATGCTGTAGGTGGCCGTGCTCGGACGCGAGCACCTGGAGCTCGATCGCCCCCCTCGCCTGGAGGCCGAACTGGGCCTCCAGCAGCGCCAGTCAGAGAAGAAACAGCGCCATAAACATAGCCTGTCGGCCCGCCGCGCGGACTTCTTGGACTCGCGCCGGGGGACCCGAGGCGCCGCCAGGGGGGGGCCCAGGCGCGGACCCCAGAACTCCGCGCGGAGCGTCAAGAAGTCTATGGCTATGAGCATCGTTCATCCGATCCCCATCCCCAGCGGCGTGGCCCGGGCCCCACTGGCCCATGCACCCCCCTTGGTGGGGGTACAGGACGTTCCCTTCGGGTTTCGAAGGGCGTATCCCCGACTGGGGGTTCTGCGATGTTGGGGGCCTGGATTACGAGACCGATGTTGCATCACAGCAGCAATTCGGCCTCTTTCGTCCTGGGCTCGGTCTAGTGAAGTGATGAATTTCGGGGTCCCTACGTGGGAAAAAGCATCACTTCACTAATATCTGGGGGCCCTGGGGCCTCAGTGGGCTCTGGGGCCCCAGAGTAGTGACGTGATGGTTTCCGGGCTTCGGATGGGGCTGGGGCCGGGGCTGGGGCTGGGGATCGGTCAAACGGTGCGGAGCTCATGGCGCTCTTCCTCCTCCGAGCCAGGTCGCCCGCGATCCCGACGCCGGCCTTGACGGTGCCGGGGTCGAGCAGGAGGCGCCGCAGGCTCGCGGGGGCCGGGCGCAGGCACGCCGGCCGCAGCAGCACGCACTCGTCGCCGCAGGAGAGCCGGGCCGGGAGGCAGCTCCCGGGAGGAGCAAAACGACGCGGAGATCGGGGCAAAATCGGATCGGGATATTAACTCGAAATCTCTGAGAATCGGCGGGCTTGGAGGACGTATTGGGCGCCGCGGCCGCTCCAGAGCGTTCCGGAAGGCTCTGAGAGCGCTCCGGAGCGCTCTGGAGCGATTTATCCCGATCCTAGCCCTGTTTTAAGGAGGCCTGCGCACGAACGGCTGGGCAGGGAGCCCACGAGGGACGTGCGCGCCCAGCTGTGTACATGAACGCGGCGGCCCCTCGATCCGCGGGACGGGCCGCGCGATATACGAGCATGCGGGCAGTGCGTACCCTCGAAACCAGCGTGGATCCATGCAAGCGTACGTCCTTCTTTCGCTCCTGACGAAAGTCGGAAGCTGGGCGAGGGCTTGCAAATCCGTGGCTGCTGAAGCGGTCTTCCCGGAACATAATGAAACTCAACGCACTAAATAAACACGGGCTGCTTCCTGGAAAGGAAAATCAAATTCCTGGAGCTCCGTCTTAGCAGCCACGGGTTTGCCAGCCTTCGCCCGGTTTCTGGTCAAGGCTATTAAGGATCCAGGGGCCACTCAGCCTGAGTTGGCCAGATTAAGCCAAGGATTCGGCCAAATGGAGCCAGGATTGAGCGGGATCCAGCGGAATCAAGCAGGATGGGGCCGGTGCTCGACCACGGATTTCTCAGCGCAGATGCTGCATCGAGCCTCCCAAGAGTTGCATCCTAAGCTGGAGGAGGGCCACGGTACCGCCAGGATCTGCCCACTCCGTGTCCAGCCCCACCACGTCGACCCCGCGCGCCAGCCAGGCCGCCATGCCCGGGCGTTGCCAGGAGCGCTCCTGGCTCAAGCCCGTGAGGAGTGCTCTGGAGGCCACCTGGGCCTCCCCGGAGATCCTGGGGTTAAGTCGGGCCTGTCCCCCATACAGGGGGAGCTTCGACGAAAAACAAGAAATACCCCCCAAATACTCCAGAAAGGCAAAAAATACTCAACAAATAGTCCCCAGACTATTTTTGGAGTATTTTTGATGATTTTTGACATATTTCTCATGTTT